GGCCCTTTGGCTTGGGACACAGCGCTGGCCGGAGGAGCAGAGTGGCACCGACACATCGCCGCCGCCATTGCCTCTCCCTTTGGGGTGTTGCGTCTCGGTCTGCAGGTGGGGTGAAAAATGGGTGTTAAGGGGCTGAGGAAGTGGGAATATTCCTGTTTTTCCAAAATCCTCTATACGCAGAGGCTTGTCTTGGCTCAGAAAAATATTGTCTCTTTTGGGGGGGGAGTATTACGGCTTCAAGGGGATTTGGGGCTAGTTGGCCACAGGCCCCTCTCAGCTGCAGAGATTAGAGAGCGAGAGGGGTCAGGTAGTGTGAGACCTGGATGGGATGCAGGGTGGGTTCCTCTGGTACCTACACGTGGTCTTAGATACATCCCTTGTGTATTTACCTACCCCAACAGCAGAGGGACCAAAAAAGTGGGTGCATTGTGGGCTTGGCCATCCTCCTTCTGCAGGCACGAGCGTGGAGATGCTCTGTGGAGGTGTCCAGGGGTTCCATGTGTTCCATGGCTGATAACAGCAGTAGGTTTTGGCACTGCTAATTTTTTAGGAGGATGCTGATTTGCCCTAGTTAGAACTTCTTGTGGGGAAAGTGTCTTTTTGGGGTAGATTTTAGAAGGGAAAAAAGGTTGTCAAAATACTTCATTTTCATACTTAAAAAAAGCCCACCACACTTTGGTTCTGATTTGAGATGGGTTTTAGCTTATAAAATCGCTTATGCATGAAAGCTTAAAATCAAAGTAAATTATAATGAATTATATATAACGAAAAAAGACAAGACCTACCCCCAAAGAAGTTTTCACAATTGGGAGCAAAGCATTTCAGCTGTTTTTAAAAGAAACTCTTCAAACTTGACATCTGAAAGTTGAAAAATTAAAATTTTTCACATTTTCTCCCCATTTGGGATGGGAAGAGTTTGGAAATCTCCAATCTGATGGTGCGGCATCCAGCAGCAGAGTAAAGGCTTCAGCAGCTCCTGCTGCCTTTGGAGGTCCTCTGCCTCGCGGGGCCCTCCAGAAGTGGGGCTTTGTTGCAATACCATTGGGTCCTTACCTGCAGAATCACCAGTTCTGGCAGTGAAGTTGTTGTTTTTTCTACTTGCTGTTCATGCAAATCCACCTTGGTGCTCCCAAGCAAGCGTGCATCTCGGGTCCGTGGTGCAGAGCAGAATCAGAGCCAAGTAATGGGTTCAATCAACAGAAGATAGGATGGGAAGGACGATGGGAAGGATGCTTCACATCTCCTGGTACCTTTCTGCTCGCTTCTGCAGCCCTGCAAGGCAAGCGTGGGCCTGCATCTCCCTCTAGTGACTTCTCACAGACTATGTCTTCACGGCACCAGCCCCAAGGAGCCACCAGCCAGGCCTGAGGTCCCACCAGCTCTTCTTGGCGCCACGCGCCCGGTTGTCCGTGCCCCGTGGAGCTCAGTGGGAGCGCAGAGCAAGCTCTGGATGGGGGTGGTGGGCATGCAGGGTGATGGAAATGCTGCCGGCTGTTCCAGGAGAGGCGAAAGCCCTTCACACCCACCAACCAATCCAACCTTGGGTCTGCGCGCGTGTGGCTCAGGGTGCGTGCCCAGTCTGAGACATTTACACTGGTGCTGGATGTAAAACTGAAGTGCATTTTAAATGCAGGTAACTCGCTGAAGTTTTAACTCCTTTTTCACATTCAGCGCTTTTGTCTTGAGTGTAGATATTTCTGTCAACACGGCAGTGTTCTTCCACCACAGGTAGTGCCTGGGCTCCACTGGTGGGGCTGAAAGAGCCATTGTGACCTGCACTGTCCTGCAGGGACTATTTAACATGTCCGCTGAGGACAGAGCGAGTCCCTTGCCAGCCACTGCCTTAAAATAATTTGCTGCAAGCGTCCAGGAGGCTCCATGTGGGCTTGTGTCTTCCCTTCCCTTCCCTTCCCTTCCCTTCCCTTCCCTTCCCTTCCCTTCCCTTCCCTTCCCTT